GAAATTTTAGAAATGAATCTTTTCTTTTTAATAAGTGCTAACTGATTTCATTGTAATTTAGAAAATACAGGTAGGCATATAATCATAAGGAAGAATAAGAGGTAAGTATAAGTAGTTCATAGTTCAATTTTCTGCTCTTTCTCATGTAATTGTGCCAATTTTCCAAGTCATGAGATATTCTTCAGAAACATCATTCTCAATGACTGCATCATATTTAGTAAAACTACCTTAAAAATTGATTTAAGTTTTGCATAGTAGTACATTAACATGTTACATATTACAAAGCTACAAAGGATATATAGAGAAAATCCTCCCTCCCACCTCCTGTTCATCACCTAAGAGGCGATGTAGATTACCAGTTTTATTTTTAATTTAATTTTTTATTGAAGGATAATTGCTTTACAGAAATTCATTGTTTTCTGTCAAACCTCAACATGAATCAGCTGTAGGTATACACATATCCCCTCCATTTTGAACTTCCCTCCCACCTCCTTCCCCATCCCACCCCTCTAAGTTGATACAGAGCCCCTGTTTGAGTTTCTTAGCCGTAGAGCAAATTCCCACTGGCTGGCTGTTTCACACATGGTGATGTGAGTTCCCATGTACATTGCACCCTCTCCTCGCCTCCCCATGACCACAATTCTATTCTGTATGTCTGTTTCTCCATTGCTGCCCTGTAAGTAAATTCTTCAGTACCATTTTTCTAGATTTTGTGTAATTGCGTTAGAATACAATATTTATTTTTCTCTTTCTGACTTCACTGTATAATAGGTTCTAGGTTCATCCATCTCATTAGAACTGACTCAAAGGTGTTCCTTTTTATGGCTGAGTAATATTCCACTGTATGTATATATACCACTACTTCTTTATCCATTCATCTGTTGATTGACATCTAGGTTGCTTCCATGTTCTAGCTAATATAAATAGTACTTCAATGAATAATGGGATGCATGTGTCTTTTTCAATGAAATGACTAGTTTCCTTCTCTTTTCAGACTTGAGGGGAAATAATTCAGTTTCAAGAGGGCTAGTTATTATTATTTTTTATTAAAAAAAGATTCCCAAAGAATCATCTGTTTATCAGCATAGATACTCAAATACTCTGCTTTGTTCCATGCATGATATATTTCTTCATTTTTCTTTCTGGACTCTGTCCATGAAATTCTCCAGGCAAGAATACTGGAGTGGGTAGCCATTCCCTTCTCCAGGGGATGTTTCCAACCCAGGGGTCAAACCTGTCTCCTGCATTGCAGGCAGATTCTCTGCCATCTGAGCTATCAGGAAGCCCCCTTTCTTTCTAAAAGGATCTGAAATACATTAAAATTTCTGAACTAAAATCTTGGAAACTATAGTTCTTCGTACACAACTTTGTATATAGTCATATTCCAATAAGAGGGTTCTGTTTTCTGAAGGAGACTTGTGGATTTACTTGTATTTTTTCAGGTGCTAACTTCACACAGATTTATTCACTGGCCAAAAAAAAAAAAAAAAGTATACGGATATAGGAATAATTCATGTTAGAGTGTTAAGGATGTTATATATCTATAAGGACTGATGGGATTGGTATAGGACAAATAGTGGCTGATAAGAGAAACACAGCAAGGATGACAGGAAGAAAATGCCCCCAAACTCAGCCAGAACTAGACAGCTACATCTGATCATTTAGATGAAAGCAGTACCAATGCTTGTGTGAATCGTACCAATTGTGTGAATTTAGTAATTGGAAATATTTTAAATTCACTTGCAGCAAGTAAATGGTAAATATTTCATTCTATAGCATGGGATCAGCAAATCCCAAGTCATCTTTTACACATCTTTATTAAATCCTAAATTAAAAGAACCCCTTATGGTGTTAAGGAGAGGAATCTGGATCCAGTCATCTTGCTAACGTTATTTTTCAAATGGGCATTAATGGCGGCTAACGAGTTACCCCTAATTTAGAAACTTAAAATAACCAGTATTCATTATTTCCCAGTTTCTGAAGGACAAAAATCAGGGAATGGTTGGGTGGGCATTTCTGGCTCAGTCTCTCATGAGGTTGTAGTCAAGCTGTCGGGTTGGGGGAATGCCATTGTCTGAAAAGTAGCCTAGGGCTGGAGGATTCACTTCCAAGTTCAGGAAGATAGTCTTTGGCAGGTCTCAGTTACTTGCTGGCTGTGGGCTGTTGACAAGCATTCCTATGAATCACTCCATAGACTTCCTGAATGCTCTCATGTCACAAAAGCTGCCTTCACCTAGTGAGTGATCCGAGAGAGAGCAAGCAAGCAAGAGAACACCTGAGATGGAAGACACAGTCTCTTACAACCTAATCCTTGAAGTGTAATACCATTACTTCCATGTGCTGTTGGTCACACAGACCAACCCTGGTCTAGTGTGGAAGGGGTATGATACTATATAAGGGTTTGAGTATCAGGGAGCAGAGACCACTAAGGGCCATCTGGGAGGCTGGCTATGATAGTGATTGTCAAATCTGTCAGGTATATATATTCCACTGGGTACATTTAAACCTAACAGCTTTAATTTTAAATGCTAGTATCTACATTATGCTGGAAATTTCATCCTTTGCAAATGCTTATATTCATGATTTTTAAATGTACATATTTAAAAGAAAATTCTTTTGGGGATGAGTATAAAAGTTTGAAGACAGCTGGCTCAGACTTCTGGTTCTATCCAGTGCATCCCTCTTACCCTGTTCTTCTGACTCTTTATCTCCCCCACGTGGTGCTCTTGTATCTTAACTATATGGACAATTTATAAATTTAAGATAAACCTCAAACTGGAAATCATAATTTGGTTCCTGATTTGTGAATGAGAAAAACTACTAGAAAATTTGACAGTCTGAAAATCTAGGACTTCTGGATATGAATAAGAAAATCAGGAATTTTATTATTTTAAAATGGTATTTATTAAATAGTTAAGCACTGTGATCTAGGCACAGTAGAGGAGCTGGGGTAGGAGACAAAGAATGCAATCTAGGATCTGTCAAAGTTATAAGCTGGAGAGGACTGTATCTGGATGCTCAGAAAATAATTTTTACTGTACAAAAAACTGTACCCAACTCATTTTATATGGTATACATCTTTTTTTTTTGGTATACATCTTTTAAAAATTATATACAATTGGCAGAGGTGTACCTCTGCTTTATTTTTTGATTAGGTATGTCATCAATGTATATGTTTAATGAAGGCATTTTACACCTCATATGATCACACCAGATTTAGTTATGCCAAAAATGCACAGAACTAGTAACTATGGATAATAACTGTTGGGAAAAGCTGCTGAGATTTTACTGAGGCATGCCGCAGTGAACCTAAATTTAAACCACAGTATGAGTATCTTATTAGGAGCAGCCTTAAAACTTGACCAGACGGGAACAACACTCCATTCCTAACAATTTACCATTTCATAATGAAGAAAAGGCTTTATTTCTTGCACTTAAGTGGAAAATGTATTATGTCCTACTCGTATAAACGTTAGTTGACCCAAAACAGCAATTCACATCCAACGTTGTTAGAATGTTTTATTAAGTACCATGAACACTCTAAACTAGAACTAAAATGATGCAAAGGATTTGCAAAACATAACACGAACTGTCTTGGCAAACTTCCAATCTAAGTAAAAACTGACCACCAAGTTGAATTTCAAGAAGTTTGCTGGACGATTCTAGAACCTGTACAGGCAGAAGGAGGGGTTAGGTCCAACGTTTAGTTTCTGGAACTCCTTGTACACGCTGAACCTACAGCGGGGCCAAAGAGAAACTGCACTAAGGAAGCACCTGTTTATTTCCGTCCTTGACCAAAAAAAAAAAAGCCTTTCTCCTTACAATGGATGGAGGCCTAAGACACCCGGCTGGTCGGATGCGGGGCCCAGAGAGCCAAGCTGCACCGCGTTTGCGACTGGGAGGCTGGTCTCGCAGAAGCTGGCGCGTGGACGGACATGGGGGCTTCCCGCTCTCGGGAGCTGTCCTTCATTCGCTCCAGCACTTCGCTGCTGGGTCATCACCCCGAGCACACCCGGCCAGGGGCTCTGGACCCCAGGGTTCTACAACTCACTTAGTGAAATGGGTGAAAGTCGCTCAGTCAGTTCCGGCTGACTCTTCGCGACCTCACGGACTACAGTCCCGCCAGGCTCCTCTATCCACGGGATTCTCCAGGCTGGAATACTGCTATGGGTAGCCATTCCCTTCTCCAGGGGAGTCTTCCCGACCCAGGGATCGAACCTGGGTCTCTCTCATGGCAGGCGGATTCTGAGCCACCAGGGAAAACAGGGATCCTATCCTGATGGCTCAGAACGTAAGGGGTCTGCCTGCAACCCGAGGAGACCCGGGTTCGATCTCTGGGTCAGGAAGATTCCCCTGGGGAAGGAAACGGCAATCTATTTCAATATTCTTGCCAGGTGAATCCCATGGACGGAGAAGCCTGGCGGACTACAACCCATGGAGTCGCAGAGTCGAAAACGACTGAAAGCGAACGGACATCACTTTCTGATGCGGTGGGACGGCGGAATGCGGCCGGACGCACCTCTGAGGGCCCATTCGTGAGCTACTCCGTTCCTGGCTGCGGTCACCCGGGGACAGAGGGGCGGCCCCACTGGGTCGATTCAGGACGTCGCCCGGCGCGTCAGAGGCGGCGCCGGCCGAGCCCCCGACGGGACCGGGAGGGGGAGGCAAGATGGCGACGCGCCGGCGCGAGGCGGAGCGAGCGCGGGCCTCCCGGAATGCCGCGCGTGGCCCCGGGCTTCCGGCTGTGGGCGGTGCGGGGGGTGGGGTGTCGGCGGCGGCCGGAAGCAGGCTGCGCCAGCCTCTGGGAGCTCTGCCTGCACTTCCTGGGGGCCTTTAGCCGGGCTGTGGAGTGTTCCAGTAGGCGGCGCGGGAGGAATAAGAAGCTTGAAGGGCCGGCCCAGGCGGATCCCCTCGTCTCCCAATGTGAGCGGCTTCCCGAGCCCCCACTTCAGGCGAAGGCTGCCCCCCAGAGAGGTGGAGCCGGTGGCCGGGCCGGGACCATGAGGCACGTTGTCCTCTTGCTGACCAGCTTGGTTCCTCTGGTGCTGGCGCCGCGACCTGCTGACGAGCGGGGCTCCCCGCGGCGACTCGGTAAGGACCCTGGGGAGTTGGCTCCGGGTGCCTGGGGCGCTCAGCTTTTGGGGGGAAGAGCAGGCGAGCGGGATCTCTCAGGTGTTTGTAGGCAGGGTGTTGGACGACGGTGGCGCGTCCAGAAGTTTTCGGTGTAGGAAGGGGGTGTGGCTCTAGGAATCGGGGAAGGAAAGGAGCTGGACTTGTCTCTCTGAATGAGAAAGGGGTCCTGGGGTGGGGTGGGGGGCCTCCGGTTAGTGACTGAGGGCCTGGGAGCGGTCTGCCCCCCGAGTTTGTGTTTGGGCGTGTGTTCCGGAAAGCGGTAAGGCAGGGAGTGGTGACGGCTCGTCTTCCGAGAGGGAGATGCGGTCCGGGTCCTGCCCCGCTAACAAACAAAGCTACATTTTGTTCTTAGCAAAGGCAGGGTTCTGGAGGAGGATAGTGAGGCCCAGAGCTCCCCATGTCTTCCGCGGCTCTAAGGAAGCGAACTAGATTTTCTGCCTAGGAGGTCCTTAGGCTGTAATCTGGTTGGAAGGCGGTGACTGGGGAACTCTTCTTGGAGTTGTATTTTGCGAACATTTTAAGCGTGTGTGTAGTTATTTAAAATGTAGCTGCTTGTTGGAGGTACTTAAACCTGCCAAGCCAGCTCGTGATGCCTTTTACTGTGAATGCCTTCCTTGTCATTTTAAACAGAAATGATCAGGGACCCCCAATTTGATCAGTTTTGAGGCTAGAAGTAGAGGGTTATTTAGATTTTCTGAAGAGCTTGGATTTTTAAGGACTAACATTGAGAAATGTGAAATTTGGTGGAAGTTAGTTTGTGAAAACTTACAGTGACCATTGGGGTTCTCTATCAGTTAAAAGTTAACATGTAAGAGAGGTTGGTTAATTAGTAATAAAGGATGAAACTGTATTTTCCCACTGTGAGAAGCGCTAGCCTCCGTGATTTTTCATGATTGTTTTCGCCTCCAAATCTTACATGATGCCGTGTAATATAATATTGTGCAGACTGAGACACTATGTATATTTTTTTATGGCCAGTAAAAAATTTGCATTACTTTACCTGGCAATTCTTTTTTCTTATTAAATGGACAAAAACCGTAATTGATGGAAAGTATTAAAGGTGTTGTGTTCTCACCTGAACTACTGCTTTGTGGTTATCTCAAATTGAAAATGAGTTGCAGGTGATTAATTTAATGAACAGCTAGGGAGAACCTGGTAGGAAGTGCTGAGATTTGATAAGTTAATACAGATTGAAGGAAAATGGTAAGTTAGGGGTGGTCAGCATGGAGGAAGAGGGTAAGGATCCACTTCATGAAGATGGGAAAAAAAGTGAAAGTGAAAGTTGCTCAGTCGTGTCAGACTCTTTGCTACCCCATGGAATAGTCCGTGGAATTCTCCAGGCCAGAATATTGGAGTGGGTAGCCTTTCCTGTCTCCGGGGGTCTTCCCACCCCAGGGATCGAACGCAGGTCTCCTGCATTGCAGGCAGATTCTTTACTATGTGAGCTACCAGAGAAGCCCTAATATTAAAAAAAGAAGAAGAAAATATAGATAGTGCAGGTACTATGTGCATTCCTAGGCTTCGTGCCACTTAAAATTTCCCACTTGTGAACAAGAGAATAACAAAACTGAAGTACAAATATTTGTACCACTAATACAACTTTCAGTTTTGTTATCATTCTGTTGTTCACAAGTGGGAAACTTTAAGTAGCACGACTAGGAACGCACATAGTACTTGCACTATCTATATTTTCTTCTAAGAAAGCCTTGCTTTCTAGATCTATTCTCAGGAATAGTCACAAATCTTGAGGGTTTGTTTGTTTTTGTTTTTTGACCATGTGTTTTTATTCGCAAAGTGCAGATAGTTGGTGCCAGAAAAATGCACAGACTTAGCCATTTATTCACTGCATGTTTGAAGAACACATACTGTATGCAGGTAATATGTGTGGCATTGAAAGTATAATGATCAGACAAGTCTGTCTTCAAAAAGCTTTTGGTATAGTGGAATAGAGAGATCTAAGCAGAAAATTCTAGAAGAGTATGAAGGAGACTGTTAGAAGACATTATGGCGGGGAATTATTTTCATCAGGTGGTACTGAACCTAGCTGGGGAAGGTTCGTGAAGGCTCCCTGAAGGAGGTGATGATGTTGAGCCTGGCTGTAAGGTTAAGTAGCTGAAAAGAGAAAACAAGGACATTCCTGATGGAGGCATTTAGTGTTAGAATTGAAACAGAACTTGGGGATCATGTCTAAATTTTTAAATGAAATGGCAGGAAAAATGAGTCTCAGAAAAGTGTAGTGACTTGTCAGGTCCATACCATTAGTGATAAATATATGCCAATAAATACATGCCTTGTGGGTATTTTTTCTTTTGAAGAATGTTGTGTGTGTGTGTGTGTGTGTGTGTGTGTGTGTTAGCTTTGAATGTAATTTGTTGCTTAACTCTGCCCTAGCATTTAGATTGAATTTGTCAAGGCCAATGAGTAATTTCATAGTTAAAGAATGTGGTTTATTGTTTAACAGCCTTCTTATCCTATAAATGTTACCATGTATAACCACAGTACTAAATATTTATTAGGGGTTTGACAACATTTTCTGAAGAATACATATATATATAATAGAATTCTGCCTTTTGGAGTACTGCATAGGCCATGGAAAATTATTTCAGTTGAACTGTTACGAATTGCATAATTTAGGAAATTTATGAGTCATGTGAGCCTAGTCATAGTATCTTGTTGAGGTTGCAGCTGGGGTATATAAGTCTCACTTTGATTTCAAAAGTTTTCTCTGTGTAACATTTAATAAAAGAGAATATAGTGGGTGGAAAGAAAAAAATACCCTCACAGATGAGGGGTGTAAATTTGTATCTGAAACGTGTGCCCTGAGGTAATTGGTGTGGGGATTCTCCACTTTGCAGTGCTCATTTCTCATTATTGATGGCATCATTCTGCTCAGTGTTTGACATCTGACTTCCTCTTTTGATGTAAATTTTGCTTACAGGATGGATTCTATTGAAACTGAAACACTTGCCCACCCCACTTTGCTTCAAGAGAAATTTAATGCAGCTCTGCTGTGTACTAGTGAAAGAGATAAACTATTTCTAAAATAGAATGAAGAGTTAAGCAGAGAGCCAGGGTGGGGAAAGTGGAGAATTCCTTTTGGCCTTCATGGGGTTTTCCAGAGAACATTAAGTGTAGGTGTCTTTCAAGGCCCAGTGTGGTTGAATATCGGATACTTCACCGTTTTGTATTTGTGAGAGGTGGTGAGTGTTTTCTGATAGAAGTATAATTTGAAGAAAGTCAGAAGATTGGGAGGGAGGGAGGAAAGGACAGGAAAAGTCTTCACAGGGAAACCTTCATAGAGGTAGTGAGGTGAAATGAAGTGCGTTCTCATATGTCCCTTAGTCCTAAAGTGAGCCAAGGAGCCAGGTATCTCCTTCCCTACGTCCCTTCTTGTGTTTTTTTAATTTTTCCTGCCTTTTAATAAAAGTTGTGGTTCAGTTTCTAAGTTGTGTCTGACTTTTTGTAACCCCGTGGACTGCATGCAGCACACTAGGTCTTCCTGTCCTTTACTATCTCCCAGAGTTTGCTCTAGCTAAATGTCCATTGAGTCGATGATGCCATCTAACCATCTCATCCTCTGTTGCCCCCTTCTCTTCTTGCCCTCGATCTTTCTAGCATCAGGGTCTTTTCCAGTGAGTTGGCTTTTCGCATCAGGTGGCCAAAGCATTGGAGCTTCAGTATCAGTCCTTCCAGTAAATATTCATGGTTGAGAATATCCTTGAGAATTGACTGGTTTGATCTCCTTGCAGTCCATGGGACTCTGAAGAGTCTTCTCCAACACCATTGTTCAAAAGTATCAGTTCTTCAGTGCTCAGCCTCCTTTTGGTCCAACTCACATCCATACACAACTACTGGAGAAATCATAGCTTTGACTAGCTGGACCTTTGTTGGCAAAATGATGTCTCTGCTTTTTAATATGCTGTCTGGGTTTGTCATAACTTTTCTTCCAAGGAGCAAGCATCTTTTAATTTCATGGCTGCAGTCACCATCCACAGTGATTTTGGAGCCCAAGAAAATAAAATCTGCCACTGTTTTCCACTTTTTCTTCATCTGTTTGCCATGAAATGATGGGACCAGATGCCATGATTTTAGAATAAGAGTTGTAGGCTTTGGCTGTCTCATCTGGTACCCTGGTTTCACTTACCATTTGACTGTTCTGATAACTACCAAATACAGATATCTGACCTCGGCTTGTTCTCTGAAGCTCCACTCTCATGTATCCATCTCAGTATTCACAGATACTTCAAATTTCAAATGTCCGCTTACATCAGATGTCCAAAATTACTTATCTATTTGATTAGAAGAATGTATATAGGAGACAAGATTTAATCCAGGAATAGGCAGCAATGTTGCAAACTGAAGTAATCTCATTTCTTAACCCGAATTTGCATCCATTTCAGCTGCAGAGCCGTATGGATCAATCCAGGGGTTTTTCAAGGTTCCCTTAGGCTGGGGCTTTTCTGGTGGTTCAGACAGTAAAGAATCCAAGTACAATGCAGGAGACCTGGGTTTGGGATTACCCTGGATCGGGAAGATCCCCTGGGGAAGGGAATGGCTGCCCACTCCAGTATTCTTGCCTGGAGAATCCCATGGACCTGGAGCCTGTGGGGTCACAAAAAGTCAAATAGGACTGAGCGACTAAGCACACGTTGAGCTAGGCTTACTTTCCCTTTGGCTCAGCTTTCCTGTGACTGGTCTTGCTGGAGAGTTTTGGCCCAGGTTTAGTCCCAGCTCAGTTGAAGGGCTCTTGATAAGGAGTTATTTGAGGCACCTCAGCCCTCATCCTCCCTAACTGGTATAAACCCATAAAATGAAGTTTTTAGTTCCCAGTCTTTGGGGCCCACCGCCTTGCAGACAGCCCAGTTCTTCTTTTCTTTTCCCTTAGTCCCAGGGAGGGATTCTCCCATGCTTAGGGCTCGTTGCAAAGTGACCAGGCCTTTCCCATGTCCTGCGTATTT